TAACCACAACTTCTACCTTTTCAATCACTTTATTAATAATTGTGTCAAAACTAAATGAGACACATAAAATGGAACGAGATAGTAATAAAAATAATCCACGTGAATTTAGATGCTTGACTTTAAAAAAAACGAGTCGATTTTTCAACTTGAATTTTCAGAATAAATAAATGGAGGAACAATGTCATTATGCAACCGTTGAAAGACTTAACATCGCTCCCCGAATCATCTGCTTCATGTCTCAGCTCAAAAATTTAGCTCAACCAAATTTGAAGCAGTCTAGGCGATTTGGAGATATCACGGTTTCTATAGAAACTAATAGATCAGGCTACGTCAAAATTATCAAGTGCAAGGGGAGCTCCATTAATGTACCCGTGGGATGTAAAAAATCAAGTTTGCTGCAATTTATCAATATTTTCTCTAATTTTGTTGGGATAACAAAATTTGTGCAGGATGACTCAATCACTCTTTAACTAAGGAGCACAATTGAATCCAAGGATCCTACATCCATCTCCAAACTGATCTTAAATTCTCAGATTCAGGGTCAATGCATTGAAAATCAAAATGTCATATCTTCAGAGAAAGAACCTGATGAGTTGCCACGAATCCAGGCTTACTCAGACGCCTCTGACAGTTTTGATTATTCTGATGACTCTTTCTTCGAAGACGACTTTCTTGGACATGCAACTGAAAGTGACCGTCGTCTGCCTATTTTATACCCCGAAGAAATTAGGAAATCCAAATTCAACAAGGAAATTTGCTCCAAAGCAAATTTTGTGACTTCCGAAAATTGTCTGCCAACAGACAACCATAACACGCAACTTAAGATCTACAGGAAATCTCAAAAAATAAAAGGCGCCACAACATGAGGACTAGGTCACAGTCCAGAGATTTTCCTTGGGAGTAGCTCATTTTTTTCTTTTTCTTTTCTCTTTTTATGTATTTTTTCTCTTATTTCCTTTTTCACATTGTACTATTTCCTTTTATCAATAAAATCCTCTTTTCTAAAAAAAAAAAGACTTAAATTGCCGCATACACATGAATATATGGGATGGTCATGTGTGTCACAATACTTCAGTGGATTGTTCAGTCTTAAATACAAGCATTTAAAATGTTGTTGAAAAGCTAAAGGGACAACTCTCTATTTGAACTAAAAATATTCGATCTCTCGCTTCAAGTGGATGGTTTTAACATATATAAGTTGCACTTATATTAGCTTCCTCTGCCTATTTTATTGCTGATTCTATTATTCTAGAATGCACGTTTTAACTGAAGATTGTGAAGAACTATTGACCAGCTGTAACTAAAAACCATAAAAAACAAAGCCCTAATGTTAGTATGTCAAAATAGTGATTTTAGAGATCTAGTGGTATCATTGCAATTGACTGATTGAGCATAACTATAATCGCCATAGTCATTTGGATAATAACGAAAGTTACAATCGGCCCGGGTGCTTTTGGGTTGTAGAACCCGTTTGATATGGAAATAGTTAAAGCTATTGCTACTCCAATTTGTATCTTATTTTGTACTTCCTTCCTATATTTGTGGTTCACAAAAGCAATTCATTAAAATGGAGCAATTCATTTAATGTGTTGAATTTTTGTGAATCACAAATATAGAAAGGGTGTACAAATGAAGTACCAAATAAGGTACCTCTAGCACAACTCATAGTTAAAACTGTCTCTACAATAATTTCAACCAATTAAAAGTAACTTCAATCTTTCTTGTTTTTATTACTATACAATTCAACGTGCAAAACCAAAGTTTTTATATTGGATGAAAAAATGGCCGATAAACTGAAAAAGAGTGTTCGTAAAGTATCATAAGAGGTTTTTGATCGGATTATTTGAATAAATATTATTTATATTCCTTATCAAATCTAAACAATTACTCGTATAAATTACATACCACGTATAATAATGACATTTATTTATCACGTAATTTCAGATTAGATTAACTTAGTTCAATTTAAAATTTCATTAGTCATACCCATACTCCGACCATTTGTTTCTAAATTTAGGTCTTATTGATACAATTTCTCATAGTGACATACGAGTACTTCGTATAAGTTAGGGTGAGCAATTATTAATCAGAAAATATTGAGATTATATACTATTTACCTCATATGATTTATGTACCACGTGTAATGTATCCCTATTACTAAGCATGTAAGCATGGGTGCATGTAATGCATGGCCCATGCATTATTCCCTTTCTATTATGCACATCACCTATTTGTATGTAGCATGCATGTCATGAAAGAATACAAGTCCCTTATCATTATATTTCCTTTTACATGAAGTTTAGCTCTCTCAATATTAGCTCCTATTTTTATCATTAGTTTTATACGAAGTATGAAATTTAACATGGTATCAGAGCCAAAACCTGGATATCCCAATACTAGTTACTTTTGAGATATTTCATTTTTACCTCTCATATCAAAGTAATGGCAATGCCGCCTCACACTCGTACCTGGATAATTGATTCTGGAGCAAGTGAGCATATCACTTGTGATAATGTAAATCTTTTCAACATTTCTGCTCGTTCATCCGAACCAGGAGTAAGAATTCCTAATGGGGAGTTAGTTCCAGTCACTGCCGTTGGTAGCTTGTACCTATCTAATGGGTTCCATCCTCTGTTTTAAAAATCGTTCTAGGCGCCCGACTAGTCCCCGCCTAGGCGCTAGGCGGTGGTCGGGCGCCCCGATTTTCGTCTAGGCGCTCCGACTAATTGGTTTACCGTCTAGGTGAATTAGTCGGTCGCCTATGGTGCCTAGTTGCTCGCCTAGAGCGCCTAATCGGCCGCCTAGGCCGTCTAGATTCGCCAAACATTACTTTACTTTTTAATTTTAACTTTCTAAGCGATATACATACTTTAACTTTAGCCATGGATATAAAGAAATGAAGTTGTAAATTAAGATAAAACTACACACTTCTAAGTTAAGTGATTAGTTATAACATATAATGTTTGTATATATACCTAAGTTTTATCATTATTTATATTTAAAACATAAAGAAGTTAAGTGATTAATTATAATATTCTATGTATGATTAAATGTGATAATTCTATCATTCATGTTTGTTAATGTATATGTATATATGTATTTTATACACAAAAAGTACAATATTACTTATCATATTTATGCAAAAATATAGATAAAAATGCAATTTCTATGTCCCCGACTAGTCCCCGACTAGGCGCCCGCCTAGCCGCCTAGGCGTTAGGCGCTGGGCTGGCGCCCGACTAGCGCCTAGCGCCTTTTAGAACATTGGTTCCATCTACGTGGTGTTCTTTATGTTCCGCAGTTCCAATGCAACTTGCTCTGCGCCAGTCGCCTCACAAGTGAACTGAATTGCACACTCACTTTCTTCTCAGACTTCTGTATATTACAAGATTTACCCTCCAGAAAATTAATTGGCAGGGGTGGATTTCATAATGGTCTTTATTACCTAGAATTACCTAGGGGTGAAAGGGTGGCAATGGGAGCTACTCTCGATTCTGACTTATGGCACCGGCGGCTGGGACATGCCTCACAGGGAAAATTACAACACATTTCATTTCTCAAAGGTTTGCAACAGTGCAATAGCTTTTGCGATCCTTGCTTACGAGCTAAACAAACTCGACTACCCTTCCCCAAAAGTACAAGTAAGACCACTTGTTGCTTTGAATTAATACATTGTGATATATGAGGAAGTTATAGATGTGACTCTACTTCAGGAGCACGCTATTTCTTATCCATTGTTGATGATTTTTCCAGAGGTGTTTGGGTTTACCTCATGAAAAATAAGTCTGAAGTTTGCCAAAAATTGATACAATTTTGCAAAATGGTAGAAACTCAATTTGAGAAAAGAGTTAAACGGATACGTTCAGATAACGGAAGAGAATTTCAAACCAATTTTTTATCCGAATATTATGCTCGTTGTGGAATTATTTTGGAAACATCGTGCACAGACACCCCCCAACAAAATGGAGTTGTGGAGCGTAAGCACAGACATATATTGGAAGTTGCTAGGGCTCTCCGTTTTCAATCAGGATTGCCTATTGATTTTTGGGGGGAATGCATTCTTACTGCCGTTTATATTATCAATCGGCTACCTTCTCCTGTTATTTCAAACAAAAGCCCCTATGAGATGATGTTTGGGAAGGAACCTTACTATGAACATCTACGCGTTTTTGGGTGTTTAGTATATGCACACGACAACAAACGTAAGGATAAATTTGGCGAAAGGGGGAGTCCTTGTGTATTCCTTGGATATCCATACGGTCAGAAGGCTTATAGAGTATTTGATTTGCAAAAGCAAAATATCTATAGCTCTCGAGATGTGACCTTTATTGAAAATGAATTCCCTTTTAAAATGATAAATCAAGAAGGGCTTGATTTTGGGGTTATAATTGACCGTGTATGTCAAAGAATAATGGGCCATAGCAGTACATATTTGCCGGCATACCACCACACCAGTCCATTACAAATTGAAAACTCCACTCGTCGATCAAGCTACCGGATAGAAAACCCGTCGAGCCTGGAGCCAGTCAACAGCCTGGAGGATATCTGCGGCTATCCAAAGTACTCATGTGGGCCCCAGCATAATACAGAAACCCATGATCCCTGCGCTCCAGTCTGCAGGTCACAAGGCCAGCTGGGAACACGGAGTAATACATGCACGGACAAAGATGGTGCAGATGGTGGGTCCTCTCATCCACTCATACACAACGGCCAAAACCTCCCTTCACATACACATGAAACAGATCCTTTGCATCATACTCCTGCATGTCCGTTACAAAATCCATGCCAACCCAATAATTGTTTAAGTGGAGAGAAAAATCTGGAGCCACCTTTAACAAATGATACAAGTGGCGTAATTGAACAAATTTCAGCCACGGATGAGATACGAAGAGGCAATCGAACTCGCCGACCTCCTAAACATCTCACTCAATATGAAGTTGACCTACCGCCCTCCTTGGACTATTCATGGAAAACTAATCAAGGCAACGCAACAGTATATCCAATTTCCAATTTTATTACTTATGAGAAGTTTTCTAATAAACATAAAGCATTTTTGGCGGCCATCACTTCACGTGATGAGCCACAACGGTTTTCACAGGCCATTTTAGATCCAAAGTGGCGGGAAGCTATGCAGAGGGAGATTCATGCTTTAGAAGAAAATGGTACATGGACCTTGGTTCAGCTACCTCCAGGGAAGAAAGCAGTAGACTCTAAATGGGTCTATAAAATAAAATATAAACCTAACGGCGATGTGGAGCGCTACAAGGCAAGATTAGTAGCCAAAGGTTTTACGCAAGTCGAAGGAATTGATTTTCACGAGACATTTGCACCAGTTGCTAAACTCATCACGGTACGTTGTTTGTTAGCCGTTGCGGCCAAACGCAATTGGGAGGTACATCAATTAGATGTCAATAATGCTTTTCTTCACGGAGACCTCTCAGAAGATGTTTACATGCGTGTTCCTCAGGGGTTTACTAAAAATGGTGACACCCGTGTTTGCATGTGTACATCAATTTATGCTCTTCTTTTATCTCTTACTCCTTATTTTTTATTTTCTCTTTTCCTTTTCTTTGCTCTCCTCTCCTCCCAGGCATGTGTTTGTTACTTTGTTCTACCTTCAACCCTTCTATTATTTTTCTTTTCTCCCGATTCTCACCTCTTTCTCCTGCTTTGTATTCTTCTTTTTGTTTCTTCCTTTTTATTTTCAGATGGCAACTCGTAAGAAAAATTGGGACTACATCAAAACTTGTTTCCTGTAAGGCCCTTTCCATGGCAGATTCTTCTTCATTGTTTTCCAGTTCTTGTATTCTGTCATTACACTTGGGTAGCAACAAATAGAATTAGAGATTTGGGAAATTTGTTGGAAGCCGGTGCAAAGGAAGTAGAGCTGCTGGGAGGAAACAAGGGAGGAGTGGTGGTGGAGACTCACCAATAAACAGAGAAAATGACCTTTGGCTTCCATGAATTGCTGCAGCAAGATTGAGCTATGAAAATTAAAGGGTATAAACGAGTTTTAAATGGACCAGCCGATCAAAACGCTGCCCCCTCTATCGTCTTTGATTTCGGCATTTTCTATCTGAACAACCAAGTGAAACATCCAATTACCAAACCATAATATTAGCTGGATGGATAGACAACCAAGCTAATTTAGATCAAAGCAGCCAAAAGTTGGTTGATCACTTGTTTGCCAAACACAACCTTTATGACATGTTCTTCAAAAAATTATTTGACGTCATTCCCGATTGAATTTTTAACTGATTTTTTTTTTAGTAAACTGGATTTGATGGAGAACATGTCATAAAAATTTTCAAAAAAATCCACCGGAAAGATGGACAAAAGCCGCCGGCCGTCGGAACGGCAGTTCCTATCCGGAATTCCGGACATGAACTATTCTCTATAGATGCATTCACATTATTAGTTAGTTACAAAAACTAACACATATGTGGGTACTGTGTTATGAAAAAATCTATATAAAAGTGAAATAACAAAGAATTTAAATTTAAAGCAAATATGAATAACAAATTGTACAATTCAATGAGTTGCCAAGTGATTTCAAATTTTCAATACCCCACCACGCCACCCGTTTATACAAAATATTGATATTCAGTCATGCAATCAAACGCCCTCAATTTGGAAAGTTACAGAAAACTTTGGAACAAAAATGAAAAAGTTAACAAAGTCAAATGAAATATGAATTTCAATAAATTTTTGTATAAGTTGGGATATAAATAAAAAAGTTGCCCCACCTAAAAGGAGAGATTTTAAAAGATTGAAAAGGTAATACTGCTGATTCTTAACACTTGGCCTGTCCCAATTTTACATTAACACGCCACCGCTTCATTTATTTATAGGGAAAACACCTACACGTCACCTAAGCCTCCTTAATTAATTTCTCAAAAACATTTTTTTTTGATCATAATTTCTCAAAAACATTATTCAAGTTAAACTGCTATCAAATTTTTATAAACAATATTTATTTTAGTTATTAGTTATATATAGGTAGTTATTCCCTTAAGTATATCTACTAAGTGTTTCTAAAATTCAATTAGGATTCGTTCATTGGTATTTAGTATTTTTATTAAAACCCCAAATTTGAGTGAATTACTAAATTCCAATTATGTTGCGTTGTTTGAAACACGTAAAATTACTACAAATTTGAATGAGTTATGAAAACGTGATGAAATAGATTCTATTCTATTTTCTATTTATATATAAGAAAAAAAATAGCTCACTCATCAAAATACAATTTTACCCTTAATGAATCTTACGTGTCTTGCTCTCCTTAATTCTCTCCTTTGGTATAGCAATGCCACGTGGCCGTTTTACTTCAAAAGTACCAAATTCTCCAATTGTATACAAGGGAGCAGTCGCATGGGATGGAGTTGGTGGGGCCCAGTATATAAAAAACCCCAATTTTCTTTAAAGTGTTATAACTTTTTCATTTTGAATCCAATTTTTACAAAAAATATATCGAAATTCATAATTTTTTGTGATCTTTCATTTGAGATCAATATTGAATATATAAAAATATAATTTATTAACAGTCTCTATAATTATGCTTCAAATTATTTATATACATTTTTTGATCTATTTTGGTGTCTAAATTGGGGAAGTAACTATAGGTGATCATTTTTAGCTACATTTCGTAAAAAAATTTTCTTTATTTCATTAATAAAAGTAATGTAAATTGAACTAAATTTAGAAGTTTTGTTTTATTAGCACGTGATGTGCTTATTATTTTCATTTGCTACTTTTTATTCTCGAGTGACATTATAATAGGAACAAATAAGGTTTGTAATAGTTTAACGAAGGGAGTACAATAAAAAATGAAAATAACATTAGATTTTTATTAATCATAGAGTTGGTGAATTCAAATCACTCATCGTTTTCAATTTAGACCAACTCAAAACAGAACTAAATAGACCAACTCAAATTTTTTTATGAGAACTAATTAGCTTTTCATTTGAGGATTTTTTATATATCAAACCAGTGCACATCAAATTATAAAATACTTTAAGAAATTTTTCTTGAATAAATTTGGTATTTTTAAATTTTTCCTTTCATGTTCTGATTTTCATTTTAGAGACTGTTTAGTAGTACTGAAATTAGTTAATCTGTTATTTACTTCATTAATAAAATATAGGGATAAGGGTCAGATAGGGCCTTGAACTTGAAAAAAAATGTCAAATAAGGTCATATTTAGGATGCTCTGTCCGGCCGACGCCATTTGGGGTGGTTCCCGGTGGAATTTTTTGATGAATTTTTTTGAGAATCTTATTCATTAAGTATAGTTTACTCATATCAAATTTGAATTAACAATTCAATCGGGAAGGCATTCAAATGAATTCATGAAGATAACTGCGTTTTTAACGGTACAGTTATCTTCAAGAATTCATTTGAATGCCTTCCCGATTAAAGTTTTAGTTCAAATTTGATATGAGTAAACTAGACTTAATGAATAAGATTCTCAAAAAAATTCATCAAAAAATTCTACCGGGAACCACCCCAAATGGCGTCGGCCGGACAGAACATCCTAAATATGGCCTTATTTGACATTTTTTTTCAAGTTCGAGACCCTATCTGAACCTTATCTCTAAAATATAATATAAACTAAATTCATACATAAATCAAAACAATCAATTTAAATCAATTCAGCTACTTCTGTCAAAATTTCATTAATTCCAAAAGAATCAGGTGAAGTAGCCAATTCCAGTGTTACTAAACCGACTCCAATTATCAAAATTAGAACTTGAAAGTAACGATAGATCAGTGACTAATAAAAAGGGACTTTTTGAAAGAAAGAAAAAAAGACTCTTAAAGTAAACAAATGAGAAGTTTAAAGAGTCATATTTCATTAAAAATCAACATGTTGAAATCATGTCTTTATAATAGTAATATATAATTGGTTCGAAAATATAAGTATACTTGAATTTGATTATTATGTGGACTTCCAATTACAGAATGATATGGTTCTTATAGAAAATTTATTTGTTCACGAGTCAATGGACCATGAAAGAAGCACTAGAGTAGATTATCAACTCAAACAAGAAGCCAAATGAAAATAAACTTGCTAATCAAAAGCTCAAACTATTCATGATAATAGACCTGCATAGTAGAAGTTTTCCCTCTCATATGTAAAGCTAACAATTGAACGGTCAAATTTTCTCTCCCATATGTAGTATTTTGGGTTTTTTACGAGAATATTACTAAAATAAAACTTATTTACATAAATATGACTATTCATTACTACAACGTAGTGCTGTGGTAACTAAAGTTCAAAACTTGAACATGAATTACCATGATTTCATTACTACTCTAGTAATGAATCATATTTTTGTAAACCATCTTTATTTTGGTCATATTTATGTAATTATTTCTAGTATTTTTAGGTATAAGAAGATAAACCGGCTAACAATTGAGCGGGATAACTTTTTCTCTCATAATTAGTTCTTTTAAGTATAATTAAGATAAGTTGTCTAACACTTGAGCATGATAACTTTTTCTCTCATTTGTAGTGCTTTTTAGTAAGATAGTAAGATAAGCCAGCTAATAATTGAGCGGGAAAGTTTGTTCTTTCATATGTGGTGCTTTTAGATATAAGAAAGATTAAGTCATATGCTGTCTAACAATTGAACGAGATATTTCTCTCTCAATAAGCAGTGATTTTAACTATAACATAATCCAACTAACAATTGAGAGAGATAATTTTTTGTATCATATATAGTGCTTTTCGGTAAAAGACAAGCCGGCTAACAAATGAGGGGGATAATTTTCTATCTCATATGTACTACTTTTAGTTATTAGAAGATAAACTTGCTAACAATTGAGCGAAAGAACATTATCTCTCATATATAGTTCTTTTAACTATAAGATAATCCAGCTAACAATTAAACAGAATAATTTCTCTCTCTCATATGTAGTGTTTTTAGGTATGACGTAAGTCGGCTAACAATTGGGTTGGATGATTTTCTCTCTCATATGTAAGTTTTAAATAATAAAAAATAAGCTTACTAATAATTGAGCCAGAAAATTTTTTCTTACATATGTAGTCTTGTAGGTATTAGAAGATAGAAGATAAGAATGCTAACAATTGAAAAGGAGAATTGAGCGGGAGAATTTTATTGCCCATATGTAGTGCTTTTAGGTATTACGTAGTAGAAGATAAGCTTGCTAACAATTGAGCGAAATAACCTTCTCCCTCATATGTAGTTCTAAGAATAAAATAAGAAAACTAAACAATTGAACGTGATAATTTTCTCTCTCATATGTAATGCTTTTAGGCGTAAGAAGATAAACTTGCTAGCAATTGAATGAGAGAACTTTCACTCTCACGGGTAGATCTTCTTAAGTACTCCGTATATACTATATAAGATAATCCGGCTAACTGTTAAGGATTAAAATGTTCTTTTCTATATGAAGTACTTTTAGGTATAACACAATTCGACTAATAATTGAACGGGGGAATTTTCTCTCTCATATGTTAGTACTAATTTACTAATGAATGACAAGTTATTATTTAACTAATATTCGTTAATTTTAATATTTATTGTATTCACTTAAACTTTACGTCACTCACTTATTGTATTCTCTTTTTTAGAATATTATTTAATTTTAAAATTAATCTTATCATAAAAATGAATAAGTAGCAAATTCTAATAAGTAGTGTCAATTAACTTTTCCTTATATACTCTCATTGAATATATATTCTATATATGGGCTTATATTTTATGGTATTAGCTTATTGAATTACTATTTTTTCCGAAAATGTAGAATCCTAAAAAGTTACGTTGTTTTAATTTTAATATTTAATTAGATCATGAGTAAAAAATATGTAACAACGTCTCTATCCCGTGTAGGCATGGACCCGGGCCGGGCCGGTTCCGGTTCCGGGCCGGGCCCGACCGGGCTTTTTTTTTGGGAAGGAAGGCCCGGGACCGGCCCGGGTAGCCACCGGGTCCGGTCCGGGTCCGGGCCGGGCCGGGCCGGGCCTTCGGTTCGGTTATAATTTTTTTTTTTTTTTTTGCTTTCCTAACCCCCCCACTCACCCCCACACCCCCCCCAAACCCCCAAACCCCTCCTAACCATCAAGCCCAACTTGGCTAACCCCAAAAAAAGAAAAAAAAATTAAAAAAAAATCAATTCGGCCCGGGCCCGGGCCCGACCCGGCCGGGCCGGTTCGCCAAATTCAAGGCCCGAGCCCGGACCCGGCCACCCCACCGGGCCTAGGCCCGACCCGGACCCGGACCCGAGAACCGGGCCGGTTCCGGGCTCGCACAGTGGCGGGCCGGGCCGGTCCCGGGCCGGGCGGCCCGAACCGGGTCCATGCCTAATCCCGTGCGTATGCACGGGTACTATACTAGTTTGTTAATAAAGTACAAGAGTCAAATGAAAACTAACTTTTTTTTGTTTTTTACTTTTTTTTTTAACAAATGAAATCTTTAGTTTGGTGTTTAGTATAAGAGTTGACTGATAAACTGTAACAAGCTAAAAAAATGGGTTCAATGAATGATATGATACAAAATAATTCATATGCTATGTTAATACTACGTAATACACAATCTTAATTATTTACGCCCATTTGTCTCATCAGTGTTTTCAAGCCACCCATGCCTCCAATCTGCTTCAGCATCTGTGGAGGGATCAAACTGCTCATTTGTTGTCCTATGTTCTTTGATTTCTTAGGAATCTTGGAAAACTCTTTGGCAAGATTCTTGTATTCCTGCAACATCGCCGTTACTTCTTCAACCTGGCGACCGCAGCCTCGGGCAATTCTCATTACTCGGGACGACAAATTCATGAGCAGTTTTGGGTTATCTAATTCTTGATTGGTCATCGATTCCATCATGACTGTGTAACGTTTGATCATGGCATCTTGGCTTTCTTTCTCATTGCCTTTCGGCACCAATGATTCAGCAAAGCGTTGCGGAAGCATTGAGGATATCTTGTTTAACGGGCCAAGTTTGAGAACTCTGCAATAGCTCATAAAAACTTCTCAATGTAAAATTTCCTTCTGAGAGTTTTTGCAGAAATTGAGGTTGTTGATCCACCGGAACAGCCTCTTGAAACCTGTCCCTGATTCCATTCGGGTCTCCCATCCCTAAATAAAGAAGAAAATAATCATTATTAATTAGTACTCCGTAGTTAACAAGTACAAAGTACAAACAGATAAACTTTGAAAAAATTTAAAAAGTAACCCGAGAGAACCCAAGAGAAGGTATAGTATACTAAATAAATAAATAAATAAATAAATAAATAAATAAATAAATAAATAAATAAATAAATAAATAAATAAATAAATAAATAAATAAATAAATAAATAAATACCTAGAAGGCGATTAACAAAAGGCTTGACATCAAAAACTTCAAAATCATTCACATGTTCTCCTGTTCCGATGAATATAACGGGACTCTTTGTTGCTGCAATGCTGTAAATTTTGTAAAACCAATAGAGATCAGTACTTTCTACTAGAATGGAGTATACTAAAGTGTATTGTTAGAATATCCATCCACCCATATAAACAAAAATGAATATTAATGTCACATGGGTAGCTCAGTTTAGGCGCAGGGAAAGTTGAAAGAATAATAAAGGATCTAAGCTCACAGCCACCATGTGGAGGTTACAACTCATGTGGTGGGCTGGATCTCTAGTGGACACAAATATAAGGTCTTCCAACGGGTCAAATGCGTATAGAGTACTTTAACTATGTGCATTGTTGCATTTTGATACCTTAACCCTAAAATGGAACAGATCAGTACCATAACTATACAAAATATTTCAACTAGCATCACAATTCATATTTATGGCCAAAAAACTCTACGAGTCAGTCGAGATTCTATCCGTACAGTCAACTGTACATAAGCTTTATTTATGCGGCCAATGTATGGTGGACTGTACGCATGAAATCCTGACCACCACGTAGCATTTTTTGGCCGGAAAATCAAATTGAATTGTTGTTTGAAACATTTACATACAAATATAATAGTGGTTTGTTTCATTTATGAGTTAAAGTATCAAAATGTAGCAATATCAATAATTCAGGTGTCATTTATGCATTTATCCGTCTACTCTGTCAGGCTGGGGATTTGGGCCTTTCCGCCTTGTCCCTTGGAATTCAACTTTTTTTGGAGAAAATATCAATAATAATAAAAATAATACGTAACAGTACTTACGCACTAAGAGTGCCACCACCCTTTGCATGGCCATCCATTTTGGTGACAATAACAGCTCCAACCTCAACAGTTTGCTTAAAAGCATGAGCTTGATTAAACGCAGCTTGACCAATGCTTCCATCCATGACAAACACAACCAGATCTGGCTGGGTTGCCTCATAAACTTGGCGCATTTCTTCAAAGAGAGAAGCTTCTTGTTTGTGGCGCCCGCTGGTGTCAACAATAATGAGATCACGATTTTCTTTCTTGAATCTCTCCACACCTTCCACAGCAATCTTCACGGGATCGGGTTCGGTATAACTCCCATGGAAGGGAATCTTATTAGCTTTTGTTGCGTTTTGCTTGAGCTGATCAAAAGCTCCTGCTCTGAAAGTATCGGCACATACCAGGGCAGGTTTCCAGCCTTTTTTCTGATGATAATACGCGTACTTTGTACACGTTGTTGTCTTTCCAGAACCTAAGAAATTTAACGTGCAAATTAAGTACGTTAATACCCAAATGTAATTTTCAAAGAACATTTCATAAAAGTGGAGAATTATAAATTTCACACAAATATAATAACTAAATTAATTGTCTAGAGTTTATTAACATTGAGGGAGGTGAGTATAAATTATACTGGTTTGGTTTTCTAAAAATGCAAAATGCCTCTAGTATTTCGTTTAATTTCTATGCCCATGGATGATAAGAATAATATTGAAAACAATACAACAAATTAACAATGCTAATGATGGCACATATATGCATACTACATAGTACTCTGTAATTGCATGCAGTAGCAATAATAGTAGTGACAAAAATAATAATAAACTCTATATATGTCTGTGGCTTTAAAGATTGCAATTAGGAATCCAATGAACATCCAAATGTCTACTAATTTGATTCCCACAATTAATTACTACGTATATAATTCGCATACATATATAGAAGATGGATGAGAACAGAATGAAAATTGGAGAATTAAAGAGACTTAGAAACACTTTCAAATGTATTCTGATTAGTTAAATCATTATTAAATTGCTGCCTATGATCATGCATATATAGAACATGGATGAAAATTGCAGAAAGAGACACTTATAATTATATAAATATATATACATACCCTGCAAACCAACAAACATAACGACACATGTTTGCCCCTTTTTTGGAGTAAAAAAAGGCTTGCCAGGATCCATCATGTTACAGAGCCCCTTAAATATTGCCTGCAAAATTTAATACTATCTAAGATATTGGCCTTGTTTTGCCTGGTGAAATTGAATATAAGAAATTGAAAAAAGATAATGAATTGAATGAATTAAATAACCTGGTGAATGATTTTGCGCTTGTTATGGCCTGCAGGTAGGTTGTGGAGGTCGACACCGGACTTGATATTGGCCTGCACATCACGAACAAGCTTGAATTGAACGTCTGCTTGAAGAAGAGGTCGGCTGATTTGGTTGAGGCAGTCGGTCAATACTTGGTCGTTGACTATTGTCGCCCTGTTCACGCTCTAGATTGCGCGGGCTATGCCCCCTCCTAATTCCCCCAATACCATCTCCGGCCGGATTTCGGTTTCCTGCGGGCTGCGGCGACAAATCAGAGTTTAAATAAAATTGACGTCTTCTTTTGCCCTTGCCCTCCCTCCCACCTCTTCAATAAGAGTGTTTGGATTGATTTGCTTCTTTTTTAAAGCAGAAGTAGAATCAGAATAAGTTTTCAGAAACTGGTACCCCCGACTTCTTAAAAAATTGATTCTGAGAGTAAATTAGAGCACCAGAAGTACTTCTAGAATTTCACCCAAACACTCCAGCTTCTGCTCCCTGAAGAAGCAGAATCAATTTTGAGAATCAGATCCAAACACTCCTAAATAGATGAGAAGTATTTCTTGGATCCCTTACCTTGTTTTACTACGATTTGGACGCTTGCATCTTCTTCAATCATATTCTTGGGGGAATTTTTCATAAATAGACTAAAAAGTGAAAATAATATCACTTTTGTCACCCTTCGATTTCTTTTTCAAAAATAGATTTGCCGATACTTTTCTTTCACTAATAGACTTATACGGTCTATAAAGCACCCGCCCACTTGATTCTTTGTACCATTCTTCACAAGTGCATGATCGCTACTCATACGGATAAATTAATACGTACGAAGTACAAACTTCATGAAGTGTGTACGGAGATCACCATTGCTCCATTTTTGCTTTTAAATAGAAAAGTGTAAGAATTCATGGAAAACCCAAAAAGTGATAATTAATAGAAAAATATGAAAACTCTGAGTAGAAATATAAAATAAAAAAACATATAAAAGTTGGAAAATTTAAAAGTTGTAAGTTAGATAAAAGTCAAAATAGTAAATAAAAGTCCGAATAGAAATTAATTATTAAAAACTCAAAGTAGAAATATAAAATAAAAAAAAAATAGAAAAAAAAGTCAAAATAGTAAATAATTATTAAAAATTCAGAGTAGAAATATAAAATAAAAAAAAACATAATAAAAGTTGAAAAATTGAAAAATCGCAAGTTAGATATTAATATTAGATGAATTTGATATTTATAAAATAAATTAAAAATCGTAAGTTAAGCTTACAGTAAATTAGGAACACAAAACTTGAAAATAAAAATGAAAAACGTTAAAAATAGTTTAAAATGTCAAAAATATAAAAGTTTTAAAAAGTTACAAAAAGGACGTTAAATTTATAAATAAAATGTGTAAATAAGATAAAAATGGTTTGAAGCTATTAAACAATATCAAAAGTAAATACAAACTTTTGCGAAGGAGTGATTATATTTATACAAAAATTGAAAAATATGCACATTCGAAGAGTAAAAATAATACAAATATATAAATTTTAAAACCATGAAATGAACCAAATTAATTTTATAAATAATTAAAAGTTAAAATATTCAAAACAATATAAAAAAAACAGATAATTAATGTAACCTAAAGAGTGTAATATTCAAAAACTCAGTAAATAAAAATGTAAGAAGCTAAAATAATGAACTTCAAACATAATTAAAAATTAGAAAATTTAAAAAATATACGAATTTTGTAATGTAATGTTTCTTAAAGAACTTAATATTTTTATAATTATGGTTATTATTTTATTGTTAGTTTTGTTTCATATTTTTCTTTATGTTTATAACTATGAAATTTTTGTTTCTTATTGTTTTTTTATGTTTCTAGTTGTTTATATTCATAAATAAAAAATTATCATTATTGTTTTTATATATACAACTATATAGATTTTTGGTTTATTCCTTTTGTTGCATTATTTTTTATATGATTACTTTTTGTTTCCTTTTGTTTATTTTTGTTGATGAATTTTCAAATTTTGTTTCTTATTGTTTTATCTTTCTTGTGTTTTTATTATATGCAATTTTGTCACTACACACACATGTATAGAGTGTATTTGCACCAAAATAGAAAAAATAACTGGAAGTGTGAATACAAAAATTAGGAAAAATAATTAAAATCAAGCATTAATCAATATCAACAAAAAGCAACAAGATGCAATAAAAAGCAACAAGATGCAACAAGGTGCAACAAAAAGCAACACCACAAAACAAAGAGAAACACAAAGGAAAAAACAACATGAAATACACACATTTAAATTTGCTTTTTCAAATTCATGATTAGAATTACAATTATCATTATACAATATATAATAGTGTACAAACAAGATCATTTCAATATACATTTACAAATTAAATAACCTATAACATATATAATACTTCTTATAAGCAGACTTGCAGAATACATGAACTACAAATGTCTCTAACAGCTTTGTGACGCACGCTGTTAGAAGTCTCCAGAGATAAGATCAATTCGATCAGTTTCCAGAGATAGAAGTCTCAAGCTTGCTATTTTCCAAATGCATATACTATACTCATTACTGGGGAGTGGAGGAATTTCCCTGAATTTCAGCACATATGTAGTTGTTCGAGTTCACTCTGAGAAGCTTCGAAATCTGGGATTAAAATGTGATCCTTCAGAATGAGATAGAGTTTTCATTTTTCAAATCTTTCCAACTGCAAATAGAAGGCAATGTTACTTTGTTTTTTTCTCAAAGTTCTGTTACAAATAGATTGCATTGGTATGTCTATTTTGGTGTCGTCACCTTGAGAAAAGTCCTCAAGCCATTCCCATATCCTGATACTTTGAATTGAAATTGACCACAAAAATGCAAACAAATGCTCAATTTCTAAAATAGAAAATGTGGACGTTGATATATAAAATAAATCACGCCGAGTGAAGTTTCAATTGACAGATCTATACATAAATACATAACAAGCATAATCCAGCATTGCAACAACTAACAAAACGAGAATAGCACAAACTCAGCCCCATATAATGTGAAGAAAAACTCATTCAAAACACAGTAAATCAAGTGAGGAAACAACGATTGTGAGCACTGAAAAAACATGGAGTAAAATACGAGTGGAGTGAAAGAGCATTATTCTTTGGCAGTTTATTACTTAAAATTTTTCTTAGCTTTACTCTAGTACTATATATACAGATAAGTTTTGCTGAACATACATTCAGTAAACTTCATAGACTTATTTAGCTAGTTAGGTTATTGGCCCAAGATGTTAAAGTGATCTATAAAAAACACATTGTTTACAGGTTCTCATGATTTATCTAAGAGAATAATATCAATGGGAAATAGTATGCACTGATGCATCAAGTTTCTTAATCTTTAATTCGGCTTGTAACTTCAATCATGCCTAGAACGAACTATAAATGGACTCAAAAGAGATCCTTAATGGACTCCTATAATAAGAGAAAACAAACTGATCTCTGCTACGACACCTAAACATATGAACAAGAACAAGTCAGAGCGGTTTTGTCATATCCTTTATCAACTTAATATAATTTTAAATAGATCCTTAATGGACTCCTATAGTATGCACTGATGCATCAAGAGTGAAAATTAGTTTCAGAACCTATTGATACTGACATTGTAAATACTTTTAAAAACATCTTAATAGAATCTATGCCAAATCAAAACCTATGAAACAAGTTTATATTCAAGCAATCCAGCTATAAAGCTTCATAGGAATACAAATTACTTCAAAACAGTATCAATGAGTGCATGTCTGTGAGAATTTACAGAAGAGTGGAAATTAAAAAAATCAAAATACCTTATGAATTTATTCATTGAAATTAGAATGAAGGGCTCAATATCGAGGCGGCGACGCAAAGCGCTCGCCTGCACGTCGGAGGAAGATCCCTTCTAGGATCTGCATCGGAAACACATAGAGGATGCACGCCTTCACTCTATTCCCAGCCTGAAGGCCATCAGATTGATCACCTAGCTGCCAGACGATGTTGGGATAAGGAATCCGAACACGGCTCTCGACGATTCCTAGTCCGGGCCACGGAATCCCCCTCCCCTGAGAAGAGATCTGGAAGTCGTCATCCGCTCTCTTGTGGAAGTGAAGGTGAGAAGACGACGAAGAAAATAGAGATCGGAATTTAGATATACTCCGTACGATTTAAGATTAGGCTATTTGTGAAATAAGAAAGATTAAAAATACATATATGAAATTGTGAAAGTTTATTAATGAAAGAAGAAAAACGGTGCGACATAAATGATATGTGAGTAGTAAAAGTGGTTTATTCCGGTAATTTCCACTATTCTTGGTTGATTGATTAGTAAGATTAGGGTTGTTTTTTATCTGGCCCAATTGATGTGTATTCAATGTGTATTTTACAATTATGAAAATCGGCTTTGATCTAGTTAGAGACAAAACCATCGATTCATTTGAATGGTGTCAATATTTAAATTCATCTATGACGTGATATTGAGAATAATTTTATTGATAATTATATGTTTTCTACAATTATTCTAATCAATTTTCAAATTTTAAAATAGGAAAAAAAATGAAGTTTTATCAATCTAGGACCTGAAAGTTAGATGAGTATCTATCCGGGACCTCAAAGATAAAATGATCGGAAATTATCAATCTAGAACTTGAATTGTCATTAATCTTACTATTTTTTTAATTTAAAAATTAAAATACTATTTATTTTTTTAAACTAATAAACTTCTGTGAAGAAATGTACATAAAAAATTATAAATATGAAATTAATAAAAAATTTAATAAACATAAGTTTTCAATCTTCCAGGCCCTACTGACACATTTCATCTTTCAGGTTCCGGATTGAAAATTCATCTATCTTGCAGGTTCAAAATTGATACTGTAATATTAAAATCAAATCACATCATATTAATTATCACCAGTAATAATACACACTATTTAAATACTACCTCTGTCCCGTTGAAAGGTTCTCATGATAAAATGACACAGTTATTTAGACAATAATTAAATAAGGTAGTTCAAGTATATTTTGAGAAATTATTTCAATAGGTATACAATATACGGTGGGATTAGTATTGATACTTGTGATGTTATAAATGTATTGCTTTTAATATTTAATGAGTAATTTGTCATTTAAGATTGTTAATTTTTCCTAAAATGAAAATGAGAATCTTTAAGTGAGACGTCCAAAAAAAAAAGTGAGCACATTTGTATAGGACGAGGAAGTAGTTATTTCATATCTCAACAATTCAAATATAATGGAACAATACACACAAGGTCAGTTTATGGTATCAAATTT